TCTTCAGAACCAAATTATGACTGAAATTTCCCAAGACTGTAACCAAGATATTGTAAGAAAGTCATACAAGGAATAGCTAGCTGTCTATGACAATCTGTTTTTTTAGCGTTTGAAGTAGGGTTGTAGAGTGAAACAGTAAGCAGTGCATCATATTTCAAGTCACCCGTGAAGAGCCACCTCCGGGTGGTGGGTGCTGGGTAATGTTAAGCGCTCTTCAACACCCCGTTGTGGACCCGGGGGTATATTTGGTCCACCAACCCGTTTGCCGTGGGTGGCGCCCCTGTGTCGGTGGAGGACGGGATTCTGGTGGTTGAGGGCACTGGTTCCTGGAACAGTGTTCCTTTGCCGAACACACCACTTCGCCCCTTACTTCCCCATGACGGGTGGTTAAATGGGCCCAGTTCAATCAATCGGCTGGTCACGCACAGCCCTGTGTATGGTAAGTAATTTTTGCACAAGTTTGATTTTTCAGAAATGTATATTTTGGTCTTGGTTTTAAAAAAATATAAAAAAATTGCTCAAATCACAAAGTATTTATTTATCAATTTGCCTAGAGTCCTATGCCCAGAAGGCGGTGGCTCATGGGCCAATCTGGTAGGACATATCTTTTCAAGATATCCATCCTAATTGAGTATACTCTCCTAGTATCCTTGGTGCTGTCTGTTGGAAACCCACAGATATGAGGCGTCGTCCTTGTTGACACTCCATGGTGGGTGGGGAGCTAGGAGGGTGAATTATATATATTCTACCATGGCACCCCCACAAAAAAAACGCTCTCACGAGTCTGAAGATTCGTTTTCTTCTGAGGATGAGGCTCCTGCAGTTATCACAAACCCTGAGAACTGGCCTCGTTTTCTTGTTATGTCAGCACCAGATGGTGGAGCTCTCAGGCTAAATCCTTTTGCTGTAGCGAAAGGAATCGAAGGTTTGGCAGGTGATGACTGAATTACAATCGCAAGGCGTAACACATCTGAAACGATTCACTGCAAGAAGGAATAATGAGACCATCAATACAAATACTAATTTGTTCACGTTTTGACTTCGTGTACATCCAACATCACTGAAGGCGGGATACTGCCACCTGACGGTCGATACAATTATCCCAAATCCCTTGAGGTGCTATACCTGCCAGAAGTATGGTCACGGGTCAAAATATTGCCATAAACCTGCTTCATGTTACAAATGTGCTGGAAAGTGTGAAGACAGTGATCTTTGTAACCATTCTCCTACCTGTGTCAATTGTTCTGGCAATCACCCATCTTCTCCCAAGGATTGTCCTACATGGAAGCTCCAATTCAAAATTTCTCAATTAAAGCATCAGCGTAATATACCATTTTCAGAGGCAAAGAAAATTGTTCTTTCACAAGAACAATCAGGTCCAACATATTCTAACGCAGTTTCTGCATCTATTTAGGCCTCCAAGCCAAAACATATTTCTTGTCATTCTGTTGGTTGTCAGACAGACTATACATGGGCAAAGACTTCTGCACCTACCTTGCTATCTGCTGAACCCAGTCAAGGCGCTTCACAAGTGACCTGCAGTTCACAAACCACAGCCTCATCGAAAAGTATTTCTCAATCAAAGACATCACCTGCGATAGATACATCTCAGAAACAGTCAACTATCCCAGAACCAACTGTCAAACCAACTCCAAACAAAACAGTGAAACGTCCAAAACGAATCATACTGGAAGAACACCAAAAAGGAGCGAATAACCATATCCAAACTTTTATTAAGTTTGGATCCCTTGATGACATGGATGTGTCCGACCAAAGCCATGGCAGGACTCATAGCTTGTCGCCTTCAAGGAAGGTGAGGGGTAGATCTCCTGTTTATCCTCCGAGTACATAATGTCCTCACCAATAATACAATGGAATTGTAGAGGACTTCGGAATAATTTGAATGATTTACAGTTATTAATCCAAGATTTTCAACCGTCAGCTCTCTCCATACAAGAAACTTATCTGAAACAGACAGATAATTTTGACCTACGTCAATTCAATGCTTATCACTCTTTTTCTCCACCGCGTGACAGAGCTACTGGTGGATCGTCAATCCTGGTGAGGCAAAATGTTATCCATAGCCCAGTTACACCCACAACAAATATCCAAGCTGTTGCTGTGCGACTTACGTTGCACGTTGCATTCACTTTGAGCTCTCTATACATTCCGCCATCATCAGCTGTTCAACTAAGCGATCTGAAAGCTCTTTATGATTAACTACCTAAACCTTGTATAATCATGGGTGATTTAAATGGCCACAACCAACTCTGGGGTGGCAATAATACAAACCCTAAAGGTAAATTATTGGAGGATTTTATTTCAAACAACGATTTATGCATTTATGATGACGGTTCAAATACTTATCTACATCTTGGCACAGGAACATATTCAGCTCTTGATTTGTCAATAACTGACTCCTACCTATTGAGTGAATTTGAATGGTCAGTCCATGACGACCCCTGTGGAAGTGTGGCACCCGTGAAAAGCCACCTTCTCGTGGTGGGTGCTGGGAAACGCTAAGAGCTCTTCAACCCCCGTTGTGGACCCGGGGTTATATTTGGTCCACCAACCCGTTTGCCGTGGGTTGCGTCCCTGTGTCGGCGGAGGACGGGATTCTGGTGGTTGAGGGCACTGGTTCCAGGAACAGCGTTCCTTTGCCCAACAAACCACTTCGGCCCTTACTTCACCTAGACGGGTGGTTGAATTGGCCCGGTTCAATCAATCGGCTGGTCACGCCGAGCCCTGTGGTATGCATTTTTGCTATGTCTTGACTCGGTACACTCATTTTGAATACTCTGTCATTAAGTTATTTAATATTTTGGCCTAGAGCTTATGCCCAGAAGGCAGTGGCTCATGGGCCAATCTGGTTTATCCTCTGGATTAACTGGAGTATGTCATTTCTGTAACCCTTTGGTGTCAGTTTGCTGGAACACCGCATACGTATGACATCGCTCTGTTGGCGCTCCATGGTGGGCAGGGAACAGATTTGATGAACCAATATACAATTCACTATGGGTAAGCAAAATCCTAAAAAAACCAAAACTGCAACTTTCCGAATCTGATTCTGAGCTTGACTCTGATGAAGATGATGTTGTTACTAAACTGTTATTTTCTGAAAGGGATACTTGGCCACGCTTTCTTGTTTTGGAAGCAAAGGGTGAACGAACCCTTGCTTCTTATTCACCATTTCTGTTAGAAAAGGGATTACAAGGTAAAGCTGTCGAGTTGAAAAACCTTACCAAATTACAGTCTGGAGGTCTTTTGGTTGAATGTGTCAGGAAATCGCAGGCAATTAACCTGATGACGTCAACCAAATTAGCTGACATTCCAATTACATGTTCAGCATACAAGACCCTTAACTTTTCCAAAGGTCTCATCCGTGACAGAGACCGAAGTCTTACTGATGAATCTGTTGAAGACATTGTATCTCAGCTTAGAAGTCAAGGTGTCATTGAGGCCAAACGATTTACATATAGTAAAGATGATCGTGTATTCCCGTCCAACACATATCTTTTGACTTTTGTCACACCGGTTCTGAAAAGTTCTATTAGGGTTGGATGTTTTTCCATGACTGTAGATCTCTTTATCCCACGCCCTACTCGTTGTATTAAATGTCAGTAGTTTGGCCATGGGCAAAATTCGTGTAGGAACAAGTTAGCTTGCTTCAGATGTGGAGAACCTGATCATGATGGCAAAATATGTACAAACACCATCAAGTGCTTACATTGCAAAGGTGACCACATGACATCTTCAAAAGACTGTCCTGTGTGGAAATGTGAGGCCACTGTGCAGAAACTAAAAAGTGAGAAATGACTCAGTTACTCCGATGCCAGGAAACAAACCAGACTACTTGCACCTGATTCAACACGTCTATCATATGCTTCAGCAGCCAAAAAGGTAACTGCATATATTCTCTGTCAGACAGACCTTACTTGGGTAAAATCTGAACATCCAAAATCCCTGTCAGAAACTGAACTAAATACAGTAAGTTCCAAACCGGTCACAGATCCAGATAAGTCACCAATAAAGCAAAGAGGAACATCTTCTACACAAACAGAGACAAATCAAATCAAATCGTCAAAATCTACCAAAGTGGACATAAAGAAGAAACAGATTCAATCTGACAGATTGCCAAAGGCATCAAAAGACACAGTACAAGTCCATAATAAATATGGATTGCTTGAAGATATTGATACTGAAGTATCCACCCGTGTGAGCGCTGGTGGCCATACAAGTGGTCACTCACCGAAAAAAGGTAGGGCAGTATCTCCTGTTACTTCTCCTTAGATAATTAAACCACCATGAGCCATTCACCTAATCTAGTACAATGGAAATGCAGAGGACTTAACAATAACTTTAATGAAGTACAGTTGTTAGTTCAAGACTTTAAACCGTCAGCACTATGTCTCCAAGAGACGTATCTCAAACATACTGATACATTTGATTTAAGGCAGTATAGTTATCATTCATTTTCTCCTCCAGGGGATGAAGCGACTGGAGGTTCAACTATATTAGTTAGACATAACATCATTCATAGTGATGTTCACCTGAATACCAATCTCCAAGCCGTAGCTATTCGCCTCAGCTTGCACATTGCGTTTACTCTATGCTCTTTGTACATTCCACCCTCATCCTCGACAAACCGATCTTCAGAATCTATATGATCAGCTACCAAAGCCCTGTATCATCATGGGCGATTTCAACGGGCACAACTCTGAGGAAGTACAAGTACAAGCAATAAAGGCAAGATTATTGAGGATTTTATGATGATTTTACTTTACGCCGGTTTACAGCCTATCATTATTTTTCTCCTCTTGGTGATAGGGCTACTGGAGGATCTTCTATACTTGTACGGCAGGATGTTATTCACAGTCCTGTTATACTTAAAACTAATCTCCAAGCTGTGGCAGTGCGACTTACTCTGGGTGTAGCATTTACGTTATGCTCTCTGTATATTCCGCCTTCATCGAACCTTCAGCTGTCTGATCTTCAATCACTCTATGATCAACTCCCAAAGCCATGTGTTATTATGGGTGACCTAAACGGTCACAACCCACTCTGAGGGCAGTACTAACACTAATACTAAAGGCAAAATACTGGAAGATTTCATTCCCAATAATGACCTGTGGATATTTAATGATGATTCAAGCACCTATCTGCATCCTGCAACTGGCACTTATTCTTCTCTGGATTTGTCTCTTGCAGATTCTAACCTCCTGAATGAATTTGATTGGTCTGTTCATGATGACCTCTGCGGAAGTGACCACTTCCCAACTGTCCTAAAAGTTATCAAACCGGATGATGACCCACCTTTATCACGATGGAATTTTAATAAGGCCAACTGGTCTTTGTATGAGACATTGTGTATGGAAAAATTAATACCGGAAAATTTAAATAAATGTATCAGATCCGATAGAGTTGTTTTCAGCTCAGTTAAAGGAAATTGCTGACCAGTCAGTTCCTAAGTCCTCTGTATTTCCTAACATTGGTAACCCATGGTTCAACAATGAATGTAAACAAGCAAGAAAGTGTAGGAAGAAAGCGGAAAAATACTTCCGCAGACATCCTACAGTTCATAACTTAAATGATGTTAAAATTACGAGTGCCAAGGCACGACGAGCTTTTAAGCAAAACAAGCGCCAATCTTGGAGGAAATATGCTTCGCACATTAATTCGCGCACACCCATGTCTAAGGTATGGAATATGGTCCAGGAAATAAAAGGCTAAGGCTCCAAGTCTTCTGTTAAATATCTTAAAGAAGGCGATCAATTGATTACTGGTAAGTATGATATTGCCTAAATACAATTGGTGAAACTCTTTCCAGAAATTCTTCATCATCAAATTATATCCCTGAATTTCAGAAATATAAAAATCGCCAAGAAAAACAAAAAAATAATTTTGACTCTAATAACGGTGAAGATGATAATGAAGTATTTTCATAACATGAGCTAAATACCGCTCTCGAGCAAGCTCATGCTACTGCAGCTGGTGATGACAACAATCATTACCAGTTACTGAAACATTTGCCTGAATCATGTCTTTTGACACTTTTGGAAATATTTGACCATATTTGGATTTCAGGAAATTTCCCTCCTTCATGGCACAATGCCATTGTAATCCCCATACCTAAGCCTGGCCGGGATCATACAGACCCCTGAAATTATCGCCCTATATTGTTAACTAGTTGCGTTTGTAAAACCATGGAACGAATGGTAAACAATAGATTAGTTTGGTATTTAGAAACGAATAATCTTATCACAGATATTCAATGTGGTTTCCGGAAAAACCGAAGTACTATTGATCATTTAGTACGATTAGAATCCTATGTTAAGAAAGCTATTGTAAATAAACAACACGTTGTATCAATTTTCTTCGATCTGGAGAAAGCATATGATACTACTTGGAAGTATGGCATTTTGAAGGATTTACATGATTTCGGTTTGAGAGGTCGTTTACCTCATTTTATCTCGCAGTTTTTAAAAGACAGGCAATTTCAAGTCCGCGTGGGTTCAACCCTGTCTGATCATTACAATCAGGATCAGGGTGTCCCACAAGGCAGTATTTTGTCTGTGACTTTGTTTAGTATCAAGATCAACAGTTTATCCAAGGTTTTAAATGATTCAATCGATGGATCACTTTTTGTGGATGATTTTAATATTTCTTGTCGTGGTAAAAATATGCATACTATTGAACGGCAACTGCAGTTGTTTTTAAACAAAATACATAAATGGTGTCTTGAAAATGGCTTTAAATTTTCTAAATCCAAAACTAATTGTATACATTTCTGCCGTAAAAACAAAGCGCATGGAGACCCTGTCTAGATGGCACACCATCAAAGTTGTGAAGGAGGCCAAGTTCTTGGGTATGATTTTTGACTCACACTTGACGTTTCTGCCACATATTAAATCACTTAAAACTAAATGCCTGAAGGCACTTGACTTGTTGAAAGTCGTTTCCAAGTCAAAGTGGGGTGGGGATCAAGCTACCCTCCTACATCTATATCGATCACTGGTACGTTCCAAACTTGATTATGGTTCCATCGTTTATGGTGGAGCCTGAGAGAAATGTTCTCTTGTACCGCCTCTTGGGCTCAGGATTAAACCATTCATTACTGCTGCCGGCATTGAGCTAGAAAATATATCTCCTTCCCGACTTCTTTTTGCTTCTCCTCCTTGGCAATTGGTGAGGCCACAAGTCGACCTAACACTCACTACATTTAAAAAATCAGAAACTAATGACTGACAATATAAATATGAACAAGAATATTATCAATAAAAAGTAAATATAATACATATAAATCCTTATTTACAGATGGGTCCAAGGATGGTGGCGCGGTTGCTTGTGCCACTGTCATTGGATCCCGAACAATATCTTCTCGACTACCAAACAACAACTCTATTTTCACAGCAGAAGCTAACGCCATATTAACGGCTCTTACATTTATTAATAAACACCGTAAATATAAACAATACATAATCTTTTCCGATTCTTTTTCGTGTCTTCAGGCTATAAATTTTTTTTCTTGTAAACATCCACTTTTAATAGAAATTATTGAATTATATAATGAGCTTGCTACTGGCCAATGCGACATCGTCTTTTGTTGGTTACCCAGCCACGTTGGCATTTCTGGGAACACAATGGCCGATCTTGCTGCCAAGGCAGCACTCAACAAATCTGTGACACCACTTCTTATATCATACTCTGATTCAAAGCTAGCATTAGAACTTACATCCGTGATCTGATGCAAAAGAAGTGGGACACCCAAGCAGGTATTAATAAATTACATGAAATAAAACCCTATATTGGTTACACCTACTTGGGTTGTCAGTCCAGATTTGAAGAGGTCACCATACGACGATGTCGAATTGGCCATACAAGGTATACTCATGAATACCTGTTAAAAGGCGAGGATCCTCCGTTTTGTATGCTTTGTGATGACAGAATCACAGTCAAGCATGTCTTGCTTGACTGTATTGATTTTGCCATCACAAGGGATAAATATTTTTATGTCAAAACAGTGAAGGATCTTTTTAGTGTTAATTATCATTTAATCATTGAATTTTTAAAAGAAATAGAATTGCTAGATAGATTTTGATCTAGTTTGTAAATAGATAGGTATTTTGTTATTGGTAGTTTAGATGAGTAACTTAGATTGTTAGTGGCTGTACCCTCAAAGGGGGTTAAAGTACTGTAAAATTATTGTTCTCCTGAGAGGGTACGTAAGTCCCAAAACTTTCAAATTAAAATGTAAATTTACCACATTTTAATCAGAGTAGTTTTGTTCTTTTAACTTCCGGCTAAATTTTCCTACATAGTGCAGGGGCTTATGTAGCAGAAATGCTTTCCGTGGGAAGTATATGTTAATTTTTTGAACCACTCATAATTGTATTTAGTATTGCATATAGATCCAGAAAATCCATGGTTCCATTTTTTCTGATGATTATAAGTGTCATTCTGGGGTAACTGAACATCGAGCTGCAACACCAATGTGAGAAAATCATATTTTTATACACCTGTCACAACATAGGCATGTAGTATATCAAAATGTGATGGGTGTTTTACAACTACCATTATATACCATGAATCGCAATAATATATGTATGCATAAGAATCAATATGATCATACTTGCTTCTGCCAAAACCGAAGGTTTGTTGCAGAGGGTATGCATTCAACCCTGTTTGTGTGTGTGTATGTGTTAGCATCAAAAACTACAAGATGGATTTCAATGAAACTTACTGGATCTCTTGGGTATGTCCCCAGGGCAAATCGATTAGATGTTGAAGAAAGTATACTCTTCAAAAAAAAAGAAACGCAAAAGCAAAATATTATTCAGCTATGTAAATCAACGAAATTAAACGGTACAACATTGAAATTATGTAGAGCAATACATTGGTATCTCGTGCAAATTTCACAAGAATGATAGTAATCATAGTCGTTACTGCTGTCCATGAGGTGACGTTGACGTTACAACCTTGTATGGCCACCTATTACTGGTAGAACTGCACGACACCTCCATGACACAGATGTTGGATGTTTCGTTGTGGAATCCTTCTCCATTCCCCCTGCAGCGTGTGGTCGGTAGACACGTTGTTTTCTATGACGTCGCTTGAGGGGATACCGCAATTCATCACTGAACCATATGTGCCTCCAGTTTCCAATGTGCCATGGCTGCACCGCGTTACACCACCTGATTCGCGGACGTTGATGTAATCATGCCAGAGAGGTTGCAACTTTTGGACGTCTGGCACGCAGGAACCGTCTCCTACCTCTCGGAGACGGTTCCTGATTGTCTTGTTGGGCATTCTCAGAGCTCCAAACCGTTCTTGTGCTGTGTCCCAGGCGGAACGATGGCAGTCACGTAGGTGGGTTATCCGGATGTAGTGATCTTGAGCTGGTGTGGTGACTCACGGTCTTCCTGGTTTTGGATGGTAATTTGTCGAAATGGAACGATCTCACAGTTATTGTGCTGGGATGAATGTTGAAGGTCCTCACCACGACACTCTTGGATCCACCAGCTTGTTATTGTCCAATAGCAATATTTGGGTGGGCACCGTTGAGACGTCCCATTTTCTCATCCAGTATTTGCAAGGGTCTTGGATGAATTTGCGAGATGCATTTGGGTCCTTCATAGTCATAGGTTGAACTCATGGTTTGCACGTGAAAAGCAATAATTGTGACTTTTGGTTGTGTTTCATAACAGTCAAGCTCACCACGACAATTATGATCGATACAACCATTCAAAATCAATCGTTTATGTGCTTGATTGGCATTTTAGAAGATGCTATTTGATGTACATAGAGATTGTTCTGGGCTACATGTTCTTTTTATTACTTTAAACATGTAATAGTGAAAGGAGATTGCTGTGCAAGGCGGAAGCATGCTCTCTAACGAGGGCCCATCTAGTTTCCAAATTAAGAAAAACATATGCGTAGAATTCATAATAATGTCGAAGCCTTTATTTCAACAGCATATTTTGTTCTTGCAGGTTAATGTCGGATTGATTGATTATGTAAGTTACTTAACAATGGGAAAGGTAAAATAAAAATACTAGTGCACCTTATATACTACCCATCAAAAGTTTAGACTCACTTAAAATACTCACTGTTATATATATATATATATATATATGTGTGTGTGTGTGTGTGTGTGTGTGTATGGTTACATCGAATATGAATTTCTCCTCTAACTTTGGGGAACGCACGAGAATCATGATGCATCAAATTGTTGTAAGGCATGTGCAAATATAGTAAATGTGAACAGCTGCGTTTTGATGTAAAGGTTTGTTAAGAATTCGCCAATTTCCACTGAGTTTCATCTTTTATTGAACTCATAATAATAAACTTTTCAACGTTGCGAATTTGTTTAACAATACATCAGTTCACGTGTAAACAGTACCTTTAAACCGTATGGACTATTTTGCAAAATCTAATTTAGAACAGTTGACTGAAGTAAGTGCATGTGGCTACATTTACACTAGGGAGTCTAAACTTTCGATGGGTAGTATATATATTGCACTTGTACCCCACTTGTAATATGCAGTTATCTGTTCACTGTGATATAATTTGTCACTCCTGTATTAAAACATTCAGTTTATATTGACTGCAGATTTGGCTTTATGTCATTTAATTAGCCAGACACGAGTGTCAGTGTGTCGATTCTGACTGTACTGGTAGGCATCATTTGACACTTGTGCATGACTACATGATAGTCACAATAACCTTACCTGGGTACTATTATTACTACATAAGTGTGTCATGGTAGTATATATTATGGAATGGGAGAATACATTAATTGAATAAATGGTTTCCATAAATACAGGTCAATACTTACAATGTTGGTGTTGATGAAGGAAGGACAATATTTGATTAATTTATATGATTATGTCATATTTTATGTCACCAAATAACCACATATTTCTTTATCATGCACCATAAGCTGCCTTTTGATATGCTACATGACTATGTTGTCGCAAGCAAGTTTGGAAATCATATTCAATCACCCCGCAATGACACTTATAGCAAGCAGAAAAATGGAACCATGTTTTTTCCTGAAGCCATGCGCAATAGTGATTACAATAAGTATTGCTTCTAAAAATTAACATGAAATTCCCACGGAATAACACAACCCTCTGTACTAACAATCGCCAGCGGCTGAAGGGATGGTGTAAATCCAGCTAGGGTCCATGTAGGTAGCAAAGGTACTGTAAGTCCCAATGGTCCCTAGAATGGTGAACTACCTTCAGTTGCTGGTGATCTATAGCCTATTTTTATATTGTTAAAAAAGTTAAAATGTTTTAGATTTAATTACTAGTTTTACATTTATGTCTGTGATATTCTAGTTGTTTACTGTCCTTCTTTGACAGGATTTTATACTCTATCTTTAATTATTGTTAATATATATGTTGTTTTAGTCACGATATGGCTGAAATATTGCCAAAGTGACTTTAAGTTTTAACTCACTCACTCACTCATTCATATGAACAACAATGTCTTGGGTGTATCACGTGGGTGTCAAACCCACATAGTTCCTTGAGTTAATTAACAGTGAGGATTCTGTCGATCTGATCGGCTTACTCATCATACATGCATAATCTGCAACACAAAAACATACACTTGACATTGACATTGGAAGTTTAATAACAAACAGGCAATCAAGAAACAAGCAAGAAATGATCATGACACCGTGAGAATGGGGTAACACGCGACATGTTTCTCCGGGAAAATCCCTGAGTGAGTGAGTTCAGTTTTACGCCGCATTCAGCAATATTCCAGCTTTATGGCGGCGGTCTGTAAATAATCGAGTCTGGACCAGACAATCCAGTGATCAACAGCATGAGCATCGATCTGCGCATTTGGGAACCAATGACATGTGTCAACCAAGCCTGACCACCCGATCCCGTTAGTCGCCTCTTACAACAAGCATGGGTTACTGAAGGCTCATTCTAACCCAGATTGTCTGGTCCAGGCTCGATTATTTACGGACCGCCTGATATAGCTGGATTACTGCTTAGTGCGGCGTAAAACTAAACTCACTCACTCTGATAAGGGTAAAAACACCTGACAAACACGTGCAACATGTGATCGGGCGTTGTCATGCTGGAATAGTCCACCTTTGACCTTCGTGAGTGCGTGAATGAGTTAAAATTTATAGTCACATAGGCAATATTTCAGCCATATAGTGACTTAAAAAGTTATAAATTAACAATAAACACAATTACATTATAAAACACCTGTCGACGAAGGACAGTAAAACAACTAGATTATCACAGGAATAAATTTAAGACTAGTAATTAAATCTTAAATATTTTACTTATAAATGTCAATACAAAATAAAAAAGGCTATAGATTGCCAACTGAAGGTAGATCACCATACAGGGACCATGGGGACTTACAGTACATTTGCTTCCTGCATGGACCCTAGCTGGATTTACATCATCCCTTCAGCTGTCAGCAATTAAGATACATCTAGCCATACATTATAATTACACATATTCTACGATTAAAAAGAAAGGAAAGTTTAAAGTTACCTTGACTGTTTTGGGACTTACAAACCCTTTCAGGAGGACAATAATTTTATAGTACTTTAACCCCCCTCGAGGATACAGCCACTAACAATCTTAAATTACTTAATTACTAACTTCCAATGATAAAATATTTATGTATTTACAAATCATTTAACATATCTAATTGTTTTAAAAATGCAATAATTAAATGAGAGCTGATACTATTAAAAGGATCCTTCATAGTTCGTGATTTGAAATAGTTATCCCTTGTGATGGAATATTCAACGCAGTCAAGCAAGACATGCTTGACCGTGATTCTTTCATCACAAGGGATGCAAAACGGAGGATCCTCACCTTTCAAGTAGGTGTGGCCAATACGACATCGTCGCATGATGGCCTCTTCAAATCTGGACTGACAACCCAAGTATAGTACAACCAGAAATTATTGATAATTTACAGATTGTAATTTTTTAATTTTTTTCACTCATTACTCACGTATTAAATGTGAATATTAGCAGAACATAACTCCAGATTCCATGCTGTCCCTACGGAAGCCTATTAGGGCCATGTCCAAAAAATTTGAAGCCTATTAGGGCCATGTAAAAAATAAATGCATATCCCTAATAACTGGGAATTTCCACTTAGTAACAGGAAATTTCAACTTAGGTGCTTGTATGTCCCAATATCGGGGCGCCTCTTCTTTCATTTCAGCAATATTTGTCAGATTTTTCTTATTGACACTTTCCTTCATAAGTCCCCATACATTTTCTATTGGATTTAGGTCAGGACTATAGCTTGGCCAATCTAATAATGTCATATTATGGGTCCGAAACCAGGCCTGTGAATGCTTTGAACGATGTTTTGGGTCGTTGTCCTGCTGGAAAATCCAACAAATTCCATAGAACACGTGAGCAGATGGAAGTAAATGTCCCTCGAGAATATCTGTGTACTGCTCACTGTTCATATTCCCTTCAAATACACAGTGAGTGAGTGAGTTATTATTTAACGTCACATCGGCAATATTTCAGCCATATCGTGACGAGAACATTTGACATTGAAATAGAATATATGTATATATTATAAAAACCTGCCGACGAAGGACAGTAAAAATACTAGATAATCACAGATATGATCAAATACACAGAGGGGCGTTGCCCCTAACACAGATATGCCACCCCACACGTTAAATTTCGGACTGTACTTTGGGCGCTGATACAAAGGTTTTTGGTTTGTTTGGTCCAGAATTTCAGTGTATTAGGAAACAGCCAAACAGAACTTTCATCTGAGAAAATCACATTATCCGAGTTAAAATTTCTATCGTAAGCACCAGTTCAACCTTCGCTCCTTTTGTTCAGGTTTCATGATCCGTGTTTGGAATTCCTCCACTTTTCTGCCAACCCATTGCATGCAGCTCAGTTCTAATTGTCTCCTTACAGACAGTCACAGTTCCTCTATCAATCATATCCAGCCTTAAGTTTTCTAAACTCCTTCGTTTGTTTTTAGAAACAAGAATACCAAGCCGCCTCCTGTCACCGACAGTCAATTTTCTGGGCCTACCTGCGCCTCCCTGGTGCTCAGTGCCATATCCATTTGCAATATTTTTCAAAACACGATAAACAGTGGACAAAGGGATGCCTGTTCTACTTGAAATCACTTTAGCTGATCTGATGGCCTTGTTATAATACTCTTAAATCAACTTCCTCTTCTCTACATCATCCATACTGAGGATCACTGAAAATGTCGTCTGTTAGCAAGTAAACAAAGGGGGATGACTCTTCACAAACTCATGAAAAAGGATAAACGGAGTTGTCTCTCTTGAATGAACCAAGCACTTGATAGCTGGTCAAGGTTGTTTATACTAGAAATCCAATTAAACATATTCCTAAAATTCTCAATAATTTCTGGTCACACTATAGGTGTAATCAATATAAGGTTTTACTGCATGTAATTTATTGATACCTACTTGGGTGTCCCACTATTTTTGCATCAGATCTCGGATATAGGTTCTAATGCTAGCTTTGTAATCAGCTAGCTTTGTAATCAGAATATGGAATAAGAAGTGGTGTCACAGATTTGTTGAGTGCTGCCTTAGCACCAAGATCGGCCATTGTGTTCCCAGAAATGCCAACTTGGCTGGGTAACCAACAAAAGACGATGTCGCATTGGCCAGTAGCAAGATCTTTATACAATTCAATAATTTCTATTAAAAGTGGATGTTTACAAGAAAGGTGTTTAATGGCCCGAAGGCACGAAAGAGAATCGGAAAAGATTATGTATTGTATATATTTACGGTGTTTATTAATATATCTAAGAGCTGTTAAGATGGCATTAGATTCTGCTGTGAAAATAGAGCTGTTATTTGGCAGTCGGGAAGATATTGTTCTGGATCCAATGACAGTGGCACAAGCAACCGCACCACCATCCTTGGACCCATCTGTAAATAAGGATTTATATGTATTATATTTACTTTTTATTTGATTAAATTCTTATTGTAAGTCATTAGTTTCTGATTGCTTAAATGTTGTTAGTGTTAGGTCAACTTGTGGCCTCACCAATTGCCAAGGAGGAGAAGAAAGAATACGGGAAGGAGATATATTTTCCAGCTCAATGCCGGCAGCAGAAAGGAAAAGATTGATTCTTAGTCCTAGAGGCGGAACAAGAGAAGACTTTTTGTTATACAGATCCTCATAAGGAGGATTGAAAACACAGTTAAATGCAGGGTTAGACTCGTTAAAATAAAGCTTTGTTATATACTGCAATGAAAGTTTTATACGGTGTTGTGTTAGAGATGGCTCATCGGCCTCAACACAGAGACTGTCAACAGAAGAAGTTCTAAAGGATCCAAGACATAGTCTTAGACCTTGATGGGGGACAGAATCAAGATTTTTACTTTTGCAGGCTTCACTGTTGATGCAATT